CAAAGAAAAACAAGAAAGTCCAGTTGCCTCTTGAAAAAGCACCTTTTGGACAACCATGATCTGGATGACTGAGAATCTCCATAGACGATTCTGGATTATATAAAGAACTTGTGGATTACATACAGAGAGACAGAAAATCCATGACATCTTACACAATTCCAAAGGTGGTTGAAACTTCCAAAGGGACAGGTTTCCCTTCTCCTTTGGGAGAACTAACACAGAGCATGTGCTCAAATTCCCCAGAGTTCCTTCACTTATGGGATTTTGTCTCTCAGAATTGCAGATTTGATGCAGCCTTGGACTGAGAGAGAAAGAGGATAGCACAAAGAACACAGCTTGGAGTGCAACACTTCTAGTGTTGTTTTTAATAGGCTGCTCTGTTTTGGTCTAGCTTCAAGGAGACAGGGAAAAAAGTGGCTGCAGCCAGGAACCTCAGTTGAAAAACGGCTCTTAGTGAGCTGCTTTGAAAGCTCACTGAGCTTTAAAAGCAATATAGGAATAAGCACAAATACCACATGCCTTTTCATGCATGTAGCATGAAAAGCAACAATTTTCAGCAACAATTCACTCTGGTTTTATCCATTTATAATTGTGCTGAAATAGGAGAACTAATTTTTCAAAATCCTTTGTCAAAATATAAAGCATTCTCCATTTTTTGTTTCCAAAAACTTACAGGGGAGTTTTTTTTTTTTTTTCTGCAAAGAGAGAGAAAACATCTTCAGTTGTCAGTTGTCACTTGATGTCACTCATCAGATGATAGCATTCAGAAGCTGTTATCTTCTATGAAGTGGGACTTTCATGGGTCTTTGGGAACATCAACATATTGCCAATCCTGAAATGGCAACTTTGAGTTTACCCATCATTTTAAAGTTCTAAACAGAATGCAAATTGACTTTTCTTTCCAAAAGTGAACTTCACATGTATCATTATTTTTTTCAAGCTTCAGTTTATTTATTTTTTCTTACCAAAGAAAACATTTTAGATAGCCGACTAGTTCAGTGGATTATTGAATTTCATTCTTAAAAGAAATTTAAAAAAATATGGTCACATTCTCCTCTGCTTTCCCCCCAAAAATCTCTTTCATTTGTCTATCTTGCAGGCTTTCTGGATTTCAGCTGCCTTCATCTCTTGTGAGCACAGGGTCTATTCTGACACTTTGTTTTACGACCGATTTTGCCGTGAGTGCCCAAGGATTCAAGGCTATCTATGAAGGTAAGATGCTATATTTTAATATGCAAACAGACCTACAGTTTGAATGGCATGGGTGCTTTCCTTCTGGACAGATTTGAATTCCTAAGAGAACTTGCAGGATTGTTGTGAGAATATTGAATATCTTGTTAAAATTATATTGATAATGATTGGATTGTTAGTTTTTGAAGGGTTTTGGATTTGTTTAAAAAACAGAACTTTCCTTAGAATTTAGTTGTGCAAAATACTGGCTTTGTTTTGTGGTTTTTTTCAGTTTCCAAATATCTGAAAACTTGAGTTGCAAAAATATAGTTCTGCTGTTATTTCTACATTCTTGTCAGAGGCAGTCTATATTTTCTTATGGTACAACCCTATATCTGTGCATCGGTGTGGGGATGTGTGTGTGTGAGAAAGAGTATGAATAAATTGGTAAATCATTAAGTAGTAACACTTTTTTGCCATTTATTCTTATATGTGTGTGTCTGTATGTTTATGACAAAAAGATACTTGTAAGCATTTTGATATTTTATTTATTTTACTTGCAACTTCTGCAAACTGTTCCCACAAAAAAGATATGGGTAAATCTAGTATAAATAGTACTTAGTCAACATTAAATCAGATGACTTTTCTATCATGTCATCCTGTGAGTCCAAAGTTTATAATCAACCAACATGAAATGGTTTTAAGGGCCTTTAAAGACCTGACATAATTCTGGAGGCACCATATTCCCCACTGAAATTAATGCTGTTCAAGGCATCCACATGGACATATCCATTTAGATGCTTGTCAAAATATGGAGATACTTACTCAGCATTGCATTACAACATCCATTCAGATGGTTATCCAAATGTGGAAACAGTAGCTCTGTATTGCATTGCTTTTCAGTGGGATGTATATTTGTGTGTATGTTAGTACTCAGATTGCTTTGACTGTCTCTGAAAAACTCAAAATTTAAGAAATGGTAAGAAGCATCTGTTAGGGAAGTAGCTCACCAATGTATTCAATTCATAAATAAAAATGGAAACGCAAAAAGAGAAAATAAGGCTGTACTGCAAGGGTGCAATGTTATATTTATTTATCTGAAAACATTAAGCTCATTTGCGTTAACACACATTTGGGTTGATCTCAGTGGAGTTGATTTTACATGCATAGGTTTGCTTTGTTATAATGAGATTTCATGCATGCTTTCTCAAAAGTATTTTTTATTAAATGAACACATTTATAAATAAGAATGCTAATAAATTCTCAGGAGGTTTTGAAAGATCAGAGAGATTCTCTCAATATATAACCCAATATTCTCAATCTATACTTTCTTGCAACTAGCATTCCAAAGAAATGTCTAATTCAGAGCTTTTGAGAAAGTTTTGTTGTATAGAGATATTTTTTTTTGTAAGGGTAGTTTACAGACTGATGAAATGAATCAAATTGCATAATATGGTAAATAATACAATAATTTTTGAGAATCCAGAAAATGAATATTTGAAGCATATTTAATCTGATAGAATTCCTTTCTCGTGGCCACAGAATCAGTTTGGCTGTTAACTAAAGCAGAGTAAAAATTCTGAACTACTTTTCCATTTTGTGCTTGTCTTTATATATTAGCATATGTTGAACTTTAGCGATTAGTTGAATCTTGTAAAGTTCCATTCCAGAGGCAAAACTGTAGACCATGAAATTAATAAACTGTAAAATGAATGAAAGTCAAATGGCTTTTTCTTCTAAGAGCTTGATTTTACTCATAGTTTGCAATACCAGAAGTCCCAAGCTCTTTGGAAGCCTTGAGCTAGCCTACCAAACAAAGTGACAGAACTATTTGAACTTTGGAAAGAAACCGCTGTGTATCTCTCACTAATTTTTCTTCCTGAATTTAGAATTGCCTTTTACTATTAATGTTATAATATCACAGTGATTATAACACTTGCCTTCCAAACAGGAAACTGCTGGTTCACCATGTATCAGGACTGTCTTAATAACTATTTTTCTTATATTAATCTTCCTATTTTTCCATTTTTTTAAAAATGACCATAGTTCTCTACTTTTTTTTCCATCACTGAACGTAGAAGGATTTCACGCTTAGTTCTCAAATAACTAAACAAACAAACAAAAAACAACAACAACAGAAAAGCAGAGTAAACACAGAAAATAAAAATAGTTGTTGTTAGTTGAGAAGTTGTGTCCGACCCATCGTGACCCCATGGACAATGTTCCTCCAGGCCTTCCTATCCTCCACCATCTCCTGGAGTCCATCCAAGCCCATGCCTACTGCTTCAGTGACTCCATCCAGGCACCTCATTCTCTGTTGTCCCCTTCTTCTATTGCCCTCAATCTTTCCCAGCATTAGGCTCTTCTCCATGAGTCCTTCCTTCTCATTAGGTGGCCAAAGTACTTGAGTTTCAATTTCAGGATCTAAAGAGCAGTCGGGGTTGATCATCTCTAGGACTGACTGGTTTGATCGTAATTCTTTAAAAAATGCTGGATCTTGAACCCGAGCAGGGGGTTGGACTAGATGACCTCCAAGGTCCCTTCCAACTTTACTACTATTACTATTACTATTACTATCAATCTGATGTTTATAACACAAAACACTGCAACCATTGAATTATTATAGGCTTCATCAGTGGTGAGATTCAAATATGTGAACAACTGGTTCTCTGTGTGGATGCCACTTCTGGAAGTCCCTTCTGGGCCCAGCCCCCCCCCAAAAAATAGCTACCAGTTCTACTGAACTGGTGCAAACTGGCTGAATCCCACTACTGGGCTTCGTAGTAAATGCAGCTCTAGGAGGTACGAGAGAGCATGGGAAGCATTGACTGAATTAAAAGGTTTTTCCTGCCTATGTGAAAATACCAAACAATTGCTGAGTTCATCCCATGCACTCTCCAAAATGACCTACCATGAAAAGTGTACTTTGGAAGTGAAGCAGAAAAAGAGGTTCCTGAAGTATACCAGACAGGAACTACTCTCTTGGCATGCTCAATATTTTAGTGGGATGAACTTCAGGTCCAATTTGATCCCTATGCATTCCCTTTACCCAAGCAAAGAGGTAAATGCAGCTGGTGGGAAGAAGAAGGAAGGGGCACACCCACAACAGGTACAGTATGATCAAGCCTTATGGCACTCTATGCTTATATTTACTGAATAACACATTAAACGTTTCAGAGAAAGTGAGAGGACAAAGGGTAAACATTCAAGCAGTGTAATTTCCATTCTTTCTTCTATTGTCTCTGGTACAAATCTTGTACCTGTTTGCTGGTCTACTGGCCTACAGTATCTATCTATTTAAGCTTTTTTGTCATATGTTTATCATTTTGTTTTTTGTCAGATATGCAATCCCCTAGAATGCCTTTGTCCGGATCATCTTTAGCAATCATCTTAGAATTTTACTATTCTTCTACATATAAATATGGAGCCATTACTATGGTGTTACATGTGATCTGGGTGTCTACCCACAGTTTGGATTTTTTGTTAAAACAGTAGGCAAAAACATTAGGAGGGCTCCAGTTTAATAAAGAATGTCTTAATAAAGTTGCACAGGTTTACTTTCAGCCCTCCAAATGCAGTTGAAAGATATGTTAATATATTTTTTATTTCTCTTTCCTTACTGGTCCCTCTATCTTATTGATACATTTCTCTATTAAATGATTTAAATGATTTTAATATTATTAAGTATTCAGATGTTGCTGAGAAGTTGTTTATCATGTGAATTATGGACAGCATTCAATATAATAGAGTTGCCCTCTGAGGGAGATGGGTGGTTCCTATATGATAAACAAACACGCACACACACATTTAAAAGGCCACATAATACATTTTCCTATATATAATGGCAGTATCGTAGCCAATGAGGTTTATCCGAGGCGTGATTATTGCTAATTGAAAACTTTTCCCAATGCCAAGACACTTCCAATTTGACGCAGGAGAAAACCTGAATAACCAAAGACCTACATACAAACACCTGCGAAAACCTCAGAAAACACATACACACATACACACACACACATATATATATGTAGGTCTTTGGTTATTCGGGTTTTCTCCCGCGTCAAATTGGAAGTGTCTTGGCGACATCTCGATGAAGTCCCATTCGTCATCTTCAGGCTGGTGTTTTCAGCTTCGTGCTCCTCGAAGCACGAAGAAAAGTGCAAAATTGGAGAAAAGTGCAAAATTGGAGTGCAAAAAAGAGAGGGCGGGACGACTAAGGCAATTACAGGCAATCAGGAAGAATGGCCCTATTACACGGGCAATGAGGACCAGCGAAAGCTAAGTTGTTTTTTAACTTTGTATATAACTGTTTTTATTGTTTTAAGTATTGTTTTAACAATAAACAACTAGTTTACACTTTCCCCGGAGATCGAGGAATGCATTATTGAACAAATATGCCTGGGATTCGCATTTTTGCAACCATTAAGGACATATATATATATATACACATACACACACACACATACACACACACACACACACACACATGAGTACATGTGTGTGTATGTGTGTGTAAATTTAGATTTTTTTTGCTGATGAAGAGTTAAAGGGAGACTAGTATAGCTATTTCAAGCTATTTAGCTCTCATCAGCTAGCCATACCCTTCTAAGATTCGAACCGGGGCAGCTTGCATGTTAAGCAACTGTATTAATCTCTAGGCCACAGGTTCTCCTTACTTCTGTCAGCTGAACCAGGGAGGATACATAGTAAGTGTTTTCTGGTGAAACCAGTCTAATAGAACATCTGGTCTACTGCTATGATTATATATATATTATGTTGGGGAACAGCTAAAAGGCTCAGGACTAGGGTCCACGAACATGAACTGGCAATCAAAAGGCAGGAGCAGCGCTCGCAAGTATGGGCTCACATGGCCAATTTGAATCATACACTCGATCTGGAAAATGCACAGACCATATCTCATGAGACCACTGCCTTCTCAAAGAAGCCTGGCTTTCGGATGAAAATTCCATCAACTGGCACATAGACCTCCTACCAGCATACCAGACTCTCAGATGATGGGAGAAACAACGTGATAATCCACGGAGTAGATGGCCATCCCATACGGTGCAAAAGCAAGACCATGGCTCTACAAATGGGGAAGCTGCGATCCCTAGGGAGGACAGTGAACTAGCAAAAGAGGAGGGGGGCCGGGTGACACCACAACGAGATAGCAACTGGCAGGATTGGAGTGACAGGGCTGCAGGTGAAGCGGCAAGAGCTGCTATGGGAGGAGATGACAAATGGCTTGGAAGGAGCAACAAAAAAGGAGGAAAGAGTATGAAGCAGGAACATCTGAATAGTTGTTCTTTGCAGGATCAGGGAGAGGGAGCTACAATCATAAGATCCACCAACAGGCTGCCGGATGAGAATCAATTTAACACATTGCAGAGTAACATAGCTAATGGGCCAATGACGCACTCGAGGAGCTGGGTGCAGAGAAAGGCAGCTGTATATAGGCAAGCTCCCTAATCACCTAGCATTCTAACTCTGATGATGTCAGTAGTTTGGCTGATGAAAGCTCAGTAAATAACTTTTTACTCACAGGCTTGTTTATATTAAACAGTCCTGTTTATTTTTAGCCTGGTGTTCGTTATATTTTTATTGATATGCCCAGGATTCGCATTTTTAATGATATTAAGGATATATATATATATATATATATATATATATATATATATATATATATATATATGAAAACATTGCTTCGAGGAGCAATGTGTGATCGTAGCTGTTTCTTCCTTTTAACTGCTAGTGGGGGTATGAACTGATTGGTTAGAGGCTTGGCTGTGCTCCGACTGGATGGGGGGTTGGCTGTGCTCTGATTGGATGGGGGAGTGTTCTTTTGGGTGGGGGTTTTGTTGTGCTTGGATTAGTCTGAGTTGCAGGGGAAAACAAAAAAAGTTCAGTTGCCTTTTGAAAAACCACTCTTGGGTCTCCCAAACTATAGAAAAGAGAAGTGATATTTGAATGATTCTCTCTGAGCATTCCAATGTCTTCTCATATTTACATATAAAATTCCAATTTATAAATCTGTGGAATAGCCCCCCCACTTTACAAGGTCCTACTAACTGGATCAGTGCTCTAGAAAATACTTCTTAGCACAATGAACTTTTTGGATGTTCAGCAAAACCATGATGCTATTTGCCAGTTTTCAACTGTTGATCTGCTCAATGGGCTCCATTTCTGAGTTTTGTCTTGGCAGGTTCATCCTGTGGCACGGTATGGATTCACTTAACTGTGCAATAGGAGCACACTCAATGTCTGTAAGAATTGGCTTGTAGCTTTAGGATTTGTATTTTGAAAGGATGCTAGAAGAAATTATTGTCCTTGAGCTCAGTTTCTTCCTCAGTGTCCAACCTGGTTTGTGTTTTCCACTATAATGATCAACTAATCTGAACTTGAATTAAGTTTTTCAAAGTGAAGCACACACTGGGCTGAAAATGTGTCATGCTCTGTTAAAAAAAAAAGACATTTTGAGAAAGAAAGGCAAACCTACCAGCTCTTTTCAGTCTTCTTTAATTCTTTCCATTAGCAGCTTTAGTCCTTTTGTTATCTTGATTGCTACTGGGGATTTTAAAGCAACTGGTCTTTCTAAACACCTTCAGGAATTATTTATTGGAATCAAACAAAAAAACTCAAAGAAAAAGAACTTTTCTCAAGTTATATTTTTTCCCATTACATAGGATCATTATTTCCTATATTTATTTCAGAATTGCTGCAAAGTTGGCTGATATGCCATCAAGTCAGTGTTGATTCTTAGCAACCCCATCTTCTCCATGATAACCTAACCCCAGTCTGCATCCATCCCTATTTTAGTTGATTTCTTGTTAGTCATCCTCTTCTTCTCTATCCTTTTATCTTTCCAACTTTTAAGGACTTCTGAAGAGAGCTGTTTTCTTCATAATGCGTAAAAATATTCATTTTCCAGAACATATTAAAACATAATATCACTCACAAGCTCTGAAATGGATATGAACAAACTTCCTTCAACATATTGAGGATTCATTCTCCTGTTTTCAGATTGTGGTTTTATCTATGTACTACCAAAACTCTCGTTGTATTTTATCTATTTGCTAATCCTCAAGTTAACTCAAATGGTACATCAAACCACAATGAGTTTTGAATCAAGGTACCTAAAATCCATTAACTTAACAAATGCATAAAAAATCTGAGGCTCATTACTCCCATGGAATTGAAATTTGCATAATGTTCAGACCAGTTTTATTCACAAATTTATGGCTATTATAGGATCCTTGTGGATCCATGATAGTGATTTATGCTGTCTCCTGCCAGCTTCCCATGAGCAATGCCATTGGGGAAGCTGGCAAGGGATTAGAAGTTGTTCCCACTCCCATTGCTTTTGCCCACCTGTGGTCATTTTGTTTATCTGTTTAGGTAAATAAATCTTGACATATTATTGAAGTTTCTTTATCATTGCTATTATATTTTTATTTATGATAACACCCTTTTTAGATAATCACAGGACCACTCAGCATTGGGGTAAAAAGAAATATGGTCAGCCTAAAATTTAATGTTCTTTTGAGTCACATCACTCTGCACTATCTTCCTTTCAAAGGATGACCCAATGGGTCAGAGGGCTGTCTAGAATCTAATAATTATGAGGTCAGAAACAGTAATGGGCAACTTCCCTATAGCTCTGTTTAGAAATTGGCCATATATTTCTTCTGCATGAATAGAACTCCTTGTTTTTACCTTGGACCTAATGAAGAATCAATATCTCTCCAAATGTTGCTGAAGTATCGCTCCTAACTTCAATGTTATGGCCTGTCATGAACAATATTGGGAGTTGTATTTCAGAAATATTTGAATAGCCAAAGCTCAAGCCCTATTTTAGAGGGTTATATATAATTATACTAAAAATGTGAATCCCCGGGTATATTCATGTTGAGAAAAGTAATCAAACACGGGATAAATATAAAAACAACTGTTTAATAAACTAACAACTGTTTGATAAACTTAGTTTTTGTCGGCTAACTGCCAACATCGTCAGAGTGGAATGCCGGATGTTTGAAAGCCTGCTCATAAGACTGGCAGTTTGTGCATTCTATGAGCACAGCGCACCAACTGCCAGTCTTATGAGCAGGCTTTCAAACCTCTCGAATTCCACTCTGACGACGTTGGCAGTTAGCCGACGAAAGCTAAGTTTATCAAACAGTTGTTAGTTTATTAAACAGTTGTTTTTATTTTTATTCGAGTGTTCGACTACTTCTCTTTCTCTCTCTCTCTCTCTCTCTCTCTCTCTCTCTCTCTCTCTCTCTCTCTATCTATCTATCTATATATATATATACACGATTAAAAAGGTTAAAAATATGAACCCTGGGAATATTCATAGTGAAAATATGAAATGAACACCAGGGTAATAAAAACTGTAAAAGTTTTTAATAAATTAAAACTATAAAAGTTTTAAAAAGCGCCAAGCTTTCGCCGTCACCTGCCGGAATCCTCAGGGCTGGCGCGCCAGAGAATGAGAAGGTCTTTTTATAGGCGTGTCGAGATCTGCGCCCGGCTCCTCGATCTTGTCATCGGGCCTAATTGGTTCAGCTGTGTGCAATTAACCTGTACTTCTTTTCTCTTTTTGGTTGCATTTTTATCTTCATCCGTCTCCAATTCTCCCAACTCCGAATTAGCTAGATGGCAATTCCAGTTATTTCGGTTGCCTTTATATTCTAACCTCCCCTCAGGCTCAGGTGGTAGTGCACATTCTACATTCCTTTCTCCACCATATCTTGTCCGGTTGTTACTTTTAGGATCGCGTTCATTTCCGGTCTCAATACTTTCGTTTTTAATGTGTCCGTCATCCTGATGATCTCGTAAGTTGCTACGGGTCCGGTGCAGCGTGGGGGGGTGTTCCGCAAGGTGGAGGGATCGTCTCTTGTCCGTTATCATGCCCAGCTGTCTTGCGCGTGTCCTACTCCGAGTACTCG